GCTCCCTCGCTTGTCCGTTTTCCTGCCTCAAAGCCCGGTTTTCGATTGTTCCGACTTGTAAAACACTCGAGAAACGGGCTCTCGTGCTTAGCTCCTTCGCCTGTAAAGAAGGATGCCGACGCTGAGGCGTGGGCTTTCGTGCTTGGTTCCTCCAGCTTGTCTGCTTTCCCCCCTCAAAGCCCGGTTTTTGAGTGTTTTGATTTCTGAAACATGCGAAAACCGGGCTCTCGTGCTTGGCTCCTCCAGCTTGTCCGCTTTCCTCCCTCAAAGCCCGGTTTTGGAGTGTTTTGATTTGTGAAACACTCGAAAAGCGGGCTCTGGTGCTTGGTTCCCGCGCCTGGCTACTTTCCTCCCTCAAAGCCCGGTTTTTGAGTGTTTTGACTTCTGAAACATGCGAAAAAAGGGTTCTCGTGGTTGGCTCCCTCGCTTGTCCGTTTTCCTGCCTCAAAGCCCGGTTTTCGATTGTTCCGACTTGTAAAACACTCGAAAAACGGGTTCTCGTGCTTAGCTCCCTCGCCTGTCCGCTTGCTGCTCGACCAGGTCAGCTTGCAGTCCGCCAGTGACGTGGGACGCTTTTCTGGGCTTCCTCTGCCTGGACCGGAGGTTTACGAGGAGCCTTCCGTGATCCCTGCGAGCCCAGAGGCGCCTAGACACTGTTTGCCCGCCGAGTCGGCAGGGACCCACTGTCATGAAGCCACAGTGCACACTTCAATTTGCAGGCTGTTCCTGTTCCACGGGCTGCGGAGGAGGCCAGGCAACTCGACAACCCATTGTCATGAAGCCACAGTGCACCCTTCAATTTGCAGGCTGTTCCATGTGCTGCAGATGAGGCCAGGCAACACACTGTCTTGAAACCACTGTGCACCAAAATGCTTCGATTGCAGGCAAGGCTGCTGAAGCTGACGGTGCCCAAACTGCAAGCTTCCTTGCGAAAGCATGGCCAGAAAACATCTGGCAAAAAAGCGGTGCTCATCCAACGGGCACTGAATGTGCCTGTCTGTAGGATGGAGCTGCTGACCATGGCCATAGATCTTTGAGCTCTTGCAACAGCAGGAACACTTTGCAAAAGTCAATATGCACACAGGGAGCTTCGATCTTTGGCCGCCACCAAGTGTTTGACACGGACTAGGCAGTGTGTGCCGGGTACAGCTGCGAACAAAAGCTGGCGTGCCAGTGCTTTTTTTTCGTGGTGACGTCAAAAGCGTGTCATGGTTCAAGTCCTACGTTTCTGTCGTGGTTAGGACCCCTTCTCCAAATACAGCGGTGAGAACTCTTTCAACAGAGCGGTGGTGGAGGTGGTGAGGGCGGTGGGGGGCAGTGGGGGTGGTGCTACAAAGGCAGGTGAGGGCCGTGAGGGCGGTGGGGGTGGTGAGGGGGCGGGGCGGTGGGGGTGGTGAGGGCGGCGGTGGCGGTGGGGGCGGTGTGGGCGCGGAGGGGTCCGGGCACACATTGGCAGCCTTTAAATACTCTTATATACTCTTTAAACACCTACAAATACAGCGGTGAAGGACTCTTTAAACAGAGCGGTGGTGGAGGGCGGTGGGGGCGGTGAGGACGGTGGGGGCAGTGGGGTCCGGGCACACATTGGCAGCCTTTAAATACTCTTTAAACACCTACAAATACAGCTGTGAAAGACTCTTTGAACAGAGCGGTGGAGGCGGTGGAAGCGGTGTGGGTGCGGACACCTCTCGGGATATCACGGGCGCCGCCCCAGGGGTCGGCGGATAAAAAGTTGTGTTTGATATCTTATTGTCCGAACCCGAAAAACCCGGAACTTCGAAAATTGGAGTTATTGAATTATCGATTTTTTGGCAAAACAACCAGACCTTAAAAGGTGTCGTTTCTCAAGTCCGGACCCTGAAGCGATATGTTGCTCGGAAAACCCTGAACCTACTTATATCAAAAAGAATCAACGGCGCAAACCCAGAACCACAGATGTGGACTAAGCAGCAGGCTCTTATGAAGACCCTAACTAGAACACAACCTTTTTTGAAGAACCTGCCATAAAAAGAAATCCTGAACGCCTATAAGCCTTCCTCGAGGACCTGTACGTCAGAACCCAAGAAATGGTGCGACTAATTCTGCCTTCAAACTCTTGCGTTTTCGGTATACACAAACGTAAATTCGAAAGTTTTAAAATCAAAAACTTCGTGTTTTTGGTTCAAGACATTAAAAGACCCAAAAGACAGAATTTTGGTCTTCGAAAATCAAAAAATTGGGAAATTCAAAGTAGAATTTTAGACTTTTCTGGCCTTTCGGGTTCGGAGAATGCAAAAATAATATCAAAATCAAACGTTTGATAACAGAACATTCGAGAGTTTGGATATTTCTAACTTTCTAGTTTTCGGGTTCCAGTCGCCGTTCAAGTCACCGTTGCATGCGAGACACCCAAAACTACAGCACAGCAAGGCTATGGTTCAGGGTTAGGTAAGCAACAGCATCTTCTTTTGGGTTTGGGGTGTGCAAAGCACGATCGTCTGTTGGGGTTCTGGGTTTGCGCCGACCATTCCTTTTCAGGTTTGGGGTTTTCCAAGCAACATATCGTTTCAGGGTTTGGGCTTGAGCAATAATGTTTTTTAGGGTGTAGTGTTTGCCAGCCAACATCGCCGTGTGGAGATTGGGGTTTGGGAACCTTCTTGCTCAGCGTTTGCCACCCAACAAAGGTAGTGTAATGCAAGGCTATGGTTCACGGTTTGGGTAGCAACGGCATACTTCTTCTAGGGTTTGGGGTGTGCGCAGCACGATCATCTGTTGGGGTTCTGGGTTTGCGCGGACCATTCGTGTTCAGGTTTAAGGATTTCCAGACAACATATCGTTTTAGGGTTTGGGTGTGAGCAACAACACTTTGTTTTGCCAACCACATGGCCGTGTGTAGTTTGGTGTTAAAGGGTTTATGAGGGGTTTGAACATTCAGGATGTGCCACCCAGCGTAAATTTAGGGTGAATATCTTTGCAGTGTTTTCTGTTTCGGGTTCGCTCCTGTTGGGGCGGGATGGCTTACCCAGCGTTTGCCTCCCAGCAAAACTAGTGTAAGGCTTCGGGTACTTCGGGTTTTGGCATGAATCAGCATACTTCTTTTAGGCTTTAGGGTGTGCGAAGCAGGACCTTCTGTTGTGATCCGGTGTTTTGACTTTGGGGGCAAAGCCATCTGCAAATGCGGGGTGCAATGCCGGTGAGGGCTGCAGGATTCAGGATTTTGGGGTGTAGGGTTTTAGCATTTAAGGTTTTGGGGCTTAGCGTCTCAGCCCACAAGCGCTCATGATGTCGCACACAAGACCAGGGGTAGGATTTGTTGCGGGTGCTGGGTTGTGTCTGTTGCGATGTCAGAGGCTTTGTAAGGGTTCTAGGCTGGTTCAACGTATTTCCGGTTGACGGGGTTCAAGGATTAGTAGTAGGTTCACGTCGCCCCAGATGGTGTAAAGGCGCCTTAACCCTGCAGCACACGGCATGGGAGTGAAGTCAACGCAGGCGGGGTGATTTGGGCCCAGCACCAATGAAACTTCATTCACTCCAGAAATCCGCAAGCTTTTTAGAAGTGTTTCCGGCTGACACCCAAAATGCAGCATGCCCTGCGCACGGTGGGTTGAGAAGGCTCATAACTGGCCGAAATACACATGATTTGGATGTTGGGCCATGGATGATCTCTTTTCGGACCGGCTTAGACCATGGATGTCATCATGAAGCCTCATGATTGGCCAGACTTCATCAAGGTGGGGCCATGGAGGCTTTCAGTCTTCTCGGAACCGCTCAGGCCATGGAGCACTAACCTAAACCTTAAGCCCAGCTTCCCCTGATAACGGGAAGTAACTTTAAAAGCTGGGCCCTAAACCGGGCTCTAAACCCTACATGCCCGCCGCCTCCTGTTTTGGAGTGCCGGGCACCCTCGGCGAAACCCTATGCCTGGCTTTCCCCTTTGCGGGGGCCCCTGGGCAGGTATGTCCTAAACCCCTCAACCAAAAGCCTGAAAACGAAACCACCCACACGCAAACCGCAACCCTAGAAACCGGGGCGGGCGGGTGAATCCAGGGGAAGAGGGGAGAGATGGACGGGAGGTGTAAACGCTGGATTTCGCAAGCATCTGCTTTTTTAGGCTCCAGGATGTAGGCTCGCGTTTCTGCCGTTCCTCTGTATCGCACCGCGACATGAACGAGTCAAATGTGATAGCTATCTCAGTCTGTGACAAGGTATGCTTCAGAATACGATGCCTGTTCGCTGCATGCTGTACGTGATTTTGGGTTCCTCACTACATCCATCGCTGATGCGTTCCATGATGGGAGAGGCAACTGCTTCACCAGAACTTTCACAATGCATGGGCTTGGGGTGGCGACTGGCAGTTACGGCCATACACTGTAGCGAGATCTTAGAAAACTTGAGTTTTCGAGTCTCCGAATTATTGAGTTTTTGAATTTTCGGTTTCGCCAAAAAATTATGGAAATTCTAAGTTTTGTTGTTGTGAATCAAGCGAGATCTTCGAAAAATAGAATATTCGAACTTTCGACTTTTCGAGTTCACGAATTTGCCAGAAACTTTTCGAGTTTTCGGAATTTTTTGAGTTTTCGGAAGCGAGTCGAGTACGTGTCGTGACGCAGGGTTTACGGTAGGATTTAGGGGTTTAGAGTTTAGGGGTTTCGATGGGGATCGCAAAACAGCAACAGCAAGGTTTCAAGATTTTTGCTCGGCCTGCCCCCCCCTATCGGGACCAACATAAAATTTTGAAAACTAAAATGGGCAAGATTGCACGCCAACATTGCCCCAAGATCGGCTCTAAATCTCCGGCACACAGCACTACTACTACTACTACTACTACTACTACTACTGCTGCTACTATTACTGCTACTACTACTACTACTACTCCTACTACTACTACTACGACGACTACAACTACTGTGCTTCCGCGGACACAAGCCCGCTGACCTGCCGGACCGACATCCGCCGGATAAATCGTGGCGAGCTTTCGTTCTCCATGCCTCCGGCCCGAAGTGAGTTTTGGACGCCTTCAGGTTGATGCTATCCTGAGGGAGGCGGAGGTGGATGATAAAGGCCTGGCATGATCATGGGCACAAGACCTTGAACTTGCCTGCTGCCTTGCTGCTCGCAATCGGGTGCTGGATTTCAATCCTCTTCATGCTACGGTGTATGTGATAGAGCCGCAGCAATGCTTGTCCAGATGTATAGCAAGCCGACGAAGCTCAAGATGTCAAGAGCATGTCGCGATGGAGGGGCCGAAGCAAGACGGTTTGGACATATGGGGTGGCAGCATTTTCCACACGCTCTTTGGACTTTTTGACTGTCGAAACACTGAACGAGCCTGAGCGCTGGATAGGTCATGTTACAAGTTTTTCTGCACTGACAGCACCTTGGCTTCTAGGCCTTTTCGACTACAAGTCCCTGGCCAAGCGGCTGTGTGAAGGGCCAAAGCGCATACCAGACATGCCATGACATGAGATTGTTGCGTAGTCCCTCTTGCATGCTGATTTAGGCGCACAAATAATGCTTGGGCGAAATACGCTTTCCAGACAACAACTCATTTCGTGATTTGCACCTAGGGAAGGCTCATGTGTCACTGGCATGTAAACGGCAATGCCATTCGTTTCACCATCCCGTGCTTGAGGACTCAACTACGTGAAGGTGCATAGAGGATTGAGAATTTGTCGAAAGCGCACCGACCGTCCTCAATGGCATTCTCGAGATGATTCGCGTCAGTCATACCGCTCTGCGCTGTCAATAATTACTCTGGAAATTTTGGACCGCTCCTCTTCGCCTTCTCTGCAGCAAGTGCAGCATCAGCGACACGGCAATAACGGAAATGTCGTCCTCACTTTGCTCTGAGATGGACTCGGACGTATCAGCGCAGTATCTTGGTAGCACCAGCAAGCACTACAGCAGAGGTTACGTGTTTAAATTCTAGATTTGATGAGCTACCACCTTCAGCACTCAGCTCGCCATGCTGTTTGCTCAAGTGTATGAAGTTCAGCTTCGACTGCAGGCGTTTTGCTTAGCAGGCAAGGGGTCCTTGTATCATCTAAACTGCAGATGAAGAAAGTAAAGCATGTTTGCTTTACGCACAGGCCTCCTCAGCCCATTTGTAGCCATACTTGAGTTTGGAGATCATTTCGTGTCTGAAGCTCCTCCGCGGAAAGGCGCATATCCCTTCCCCCGTTGTACACAAGCCATGGGTGTACCTGGCTTCTATCGGTGGGCAGTGCGCAGAGTACCTCATCTGCGAGCAAAGAGCACCGGGCCCCCCTACGAGCGCCCTGGACGTCAAAACTTGCCAAAGTGTCAGGTAGTGCTCAGCAGTCAGCAGGGATCCTTGGTCATGGCTTTGCATACAAGGGTGATTAGAAGTCGCGGTGTACATTCGGTCTACATCTGCATGGTAAGGCGGCTAACACACGCTTGTAGTCGAAAGGTCGTGCAAGATCTGTGCCAGATGTTACTCAGCCTAGGTTTGACAACCTGCCCCCCGGTTGCAGTCAGGTAAGACGTGACGATAAGCTATCAATTGAACCGTGGTGGATTAGTGTTTGAGTCGCGGTTACGCTTTTCAGGTACTTGGACTTCAATGGTGTCGTCCACACCTGCGTGAATGACTGGACACTTCAGGAGCAGGAGGACCATCTCTTCCAGCTCATTGAGGCAGCACCAGCTCTGATTGCCGTTGCAAGTATGCCCCTGACACTGGAGGCGCAACTCGCCGTGTTGTTATCACTGGTGACTCCCAAGGCTTGCGACAGTTGCGCAGGGCACGTCGAGAAATTCAAGCGACAGAAGGGATTGGCCTGATAGGTTCTGCTTTATGTGGCACTGGATGGGGTGGCCCCAAGGGCGAAGATGAACCAGCAGAGATCACGGACACCCGTTCTGATAGTGCTGCTGTCTGTTGAAGCCTTTGTTATGCTGCCTTGACCTGGCTTTTGTTTCCTTGCAAGACCCTGTAAACTACACTGGCCACGGGCACTTCGCATGTCCTCTCGGCACTGAGGCGCTTTCGAAAAGCCCAAGAGACAGATGCAGATGGTATCGATGCAGTCATCGATGTCTTCGCGACTGCCTCAGCACTTCGTGCCGGAAGACCACTCGCAAAGCTGCTCGCAAAGCTGCAGAGAGTGCAAGCTTGTCTTGGGCCAGCGGCCTCAGGACCGCAACGCCATCACGCCTGGGTGCCGCTGCTCAGAACCTGTCAAATTATGCTTTCGGAGAGCAGATCTTCGCGCAGCCTTTTTGCCAAGGACTCCTTTCATGCAGCGCTTGTCGGATCGGCTACGGCACTGGGCCGCCTCTCAGGCTGCAGGGTCAGCAAAACAGAGGTGTCCGTCAGCTCGGCATCCATCTGTGTTGGCCTCTAGCTCGTGGTTCACATCATACCGGTGCCCAACTTTTTTCGCGACCTTCTTGTGTCAAGTTCCACTGCCATTTCTCTGGGAGGTTGCAGTGCCCGATCTGCAAGGACTGAGCATAGTCATTTCTTGCGATCGCGATCCAGGCTGGTTTTTGATTTTAATCAAGAAAGGCTTCAAAAGAAGTGGCAGCTCAGATGGCTAATTGGCTGCAGGCGAAGGGGAGCACAAAATCATGGAGGTGATTCGGAACCATCCCGAGCACACGCACTGCCTTTGCAGCAATGATGCCGACGCCTTGCTGCTTTTCGGAGAGCAGTCCGCAACAAGAGTGGAGAGCAATTGAAATAGCTGCTTGCATCTGCATGACGTGAGTGTTTGGTGGAAGCTGCATCAGGATCTGGTGTTCCTCGGGCTGGTGTGTGAATCCGAACACGTATACCTGCTGAGAACGAAGCCCAACTACGAGAAAAGGGTGCGCACCGACACTGGGCCGTCTCAGGTGCAGCTGAGTCGCTGATTTTCGCCGTTTCGCCAACACTTCTCCCAGCACTGGCAGGAGGCCCCGGACTCGGACGCCTTGCCGCTACCGGCCGCAGAGCCGGCCGCAGAGCCGGCCGCATCCGCCGCCGCAGGGCCCATGGCCGAGGCGGGAGCCGGAGAGCAGCCCGGCGCGCGCGCGCCGATCGCGCCCGTTCGCAAGCTGAGTGCTGTTCGACAAGTATTCCAAAAAGCCCAAATTTGCCACGTACTTGAGAACAGAATTCCACATCCAAACACAGGAACCTTAGGTGTCAGTGTCAGTGTCAGAGTGTCTGTCTGTGTGTGTCTGCGTGTTTTAGTGTCTGACACGTGTCAGAGCAGAGGACTACGAGATGCTGAGCATCGTGGCCCTGCGCGCCTGGCTGTCCAGCCAGTTCCCGGACTGTTTACCGTCAGGTGCTAAGATGGAGGGACACCAGCCACTGCCTTGCTCCCGCCTGGCAAGGCCTGCTTGCTGATAAGCTGATGGTCTTTCGTCAGGAATCGACTGCTGGCTGACTTTGTGGCGATGTGCTGCCTGGTTGGGAACGACTTCCTGCGCCTCGTCACAGCCTGGCACGAGCCACACGCGAGGCGTCAGCAAGACAGAGGAGTTAAAGGATGTTGAAGGTACTCGTCGGGTAACTTTGATGGGCCCACCCACATTGACAACACAACTTAGGCCTCACATAGCAGCTGTCGACATCTACGATGGCGGCCTGGACAAGCTCCTAGCAGCCTATTACCAGCTCAAGCCTGCAGTGAATGGGCGACTGGTCATGATTGGCTGCAAGGTGCAGTGTGACATTGATTTGCTTGTACTCGTAGGACGTTGCGCCACCCAGTCACTTGAGGTATTTGACCACAGCAGACCTCACCCTGGACTTGCCCCGATGGCGCGGCTTGCCATTGACTCAACAAGACGGACAGCTTTTCGTTCACATACGGGGCTGGCAGCTCTTTCGGATGGAGTTGCCCTGGTAAGTTGGATTCCACTTTCCACAAGAAATCTCGCCTCAGTCTTTCCACACCACTTCGGCATACTTCGGCCCCGACCTCCAATGTTGGTCCTCGCCGTCATACAGATTTGCTGTCAAGCCTGACAGCAGTCATACCGCTCCATACGTTCAGGATCTTTGAAAAGCCTGCGTAGCCCATTCGTAGGACAGACCGGCATGGAACGAAAGCTTTGACTCAGGTGGTTTGCTGGAGACGGTCGCACAGGCAAGTCTTTTGAGCTCTAAATCTGTAGCAGCAAGTCCGCTTTGAGGAGGAAGCCGAGATCCTGCTGGCCATGCTTGGCCTGGGCTGGGGTCCAAAGCAGCTGCCCTACCGCGGCCCTGGGCCCCCTTCCTCGAATTGGGACGGCTTGTCCGTGGTCGTATCACCTGTGCCGCGGAAGGCCACCGCAGCACAACTTTGGGCCCCTCTGCTGGATCCAGACTCTTTTTTCCATTTGCCTGGTTTCTGAAGGTCCTCAAGCCTCAGGTGCCGAGGGAAACGTGCATTAAACCTTCGTCGCACAGCGGGTGTCAGTGCCAGCTGCGCACAAGGCGAAAGCTACAAGTACCATGGGAGTAGCAACAGTAACAGCGGTCATGGTTTGCTCTGCCGTTTGCGTGTGTCCTTGCCCGTGCAATTCCAAACTACTCTCATGGTGCTGAATATGCAGCGAGATTCACAACTTCGCAAGTTCAGGGGTTGCAGACCTTCCATGCCTCCCATAAGTTCACACAGTGAGGCAGCAATGTCAAAACAGGGCTGCATCGTGAAGAGCGTTCACCAACTGAAGCAGTCGCGAGGACGGTGGGGCTTTTGCTTTTGCTCTTTTTGATTCTTGTCTTCGCTTTGCTGCGGCTTGCCTTGCGTCTCCGTTGCTTTCTTGTTCTCGCAGATCTGTTTTCTGCATCGCCTCTCCCTCACTCTCTCTCTACTTTTCAGTTTTGTTGTTACCCTCCGATTGGCAATGACACTGGCAGACTTGCAACTGCTGGCACCAGAAGACAGGACCTGCTTCCTGGCTGGTCTGCTTCGCTGAACCGGCGTCTGCTGCAGAACCCCCGGCATCCCCCGGCCCTCATCCAGAGTAGACAGTTGGCTGTAGTGCGGACTTTAAGTGGTAGTGCAAGTACAGATGCTTGTTGAGATTCAATCTGAGATGAGTTGCTGCTCGCACACTGCAGCACCTTGTCGCGAAAAAGGAGCAGCAGCCAAGGTCAGGACTTTGGTGGCCACCCGCCGCATCGAGACCCAGCGGCTACAGGACGCTACAGAAAGCAGCTAGCAACGTTCTTGCCAGACAGACTTCTTCTTGAGGTGACCTGGGCGGTACCGAGTGGCCTGCAGTTCGAGGAGTCGCCCCCAGAGCCAGCAGAGGCAAGACAAGAGCGGTGGAGGCTCACTACCATACAGACTGCCATGAAGCTCCCCCACGCAGGCCATGAATTGGCGGGAGGAGCTGAACCGCTCCGTCCGAGAGTCCTTCGAGTATTGGCCCTTTCCTGATACATAATGTGGTGTTGGGAGGAACTGTTGTGTTTTTTGCACGCAATCAGCGTAATGAGAGTCGGTCATTGAACGCGGAATAGCGATGCGGCTCCGGCTTCGGCAGGATAGGATGTATATATCTTACAATCGCGTTGACACAGCATCAGCTCGAAAGCGTTTCCCGAAGAGTCAAATTCATAGTGAGTTCCAATACATGGGCACGTTTTGCCCCGATCGCAGCACTACCTGAGCAAAGGATTTGGCCGTTTGCATCCGAGCGCGGTGCTGCTGAAGCACGCCAGTACTTTGGGGTTAGCTCGTTAGCATTGAGCCTGTCCCTCCCTGAATCGCGCCGGTACTCGGGAGAAAGCATTTTGGCTGTGGGGGGAAGCAACTTGTGCGTGGTTGTTAAACCAGCAAGTCTTGCGGCCGTGCTGCGGGAAGCACTTTGGCCCTGGTTTTGGTTTGGTGGTCTCCTGATTGTCATGGTCTTTGTGGTGCTTTTCCATTGTTTGGGGATGTATGCTGGCATTTCCGAGCCCACTTGTCTACGCATTGCCCAAAACTCAGGCTTGGACCGGAGAATCTTCCCAATGATGCGTTTCTTCGAAGACATGTCCGCCAGCGGAGAGACCTTGTGCTGGGAAGTTGTGAGTTTCAGGGTTTTCGAGGTTAGTTTCGGAGCGGAGTTTCGGAACATGACAGTTTCGGATCAGGACACGGTCAGTTTCGGTCTCGCCGATCCGGAACTAGAACCCCAAAACTATTGCGCCCGTGGCCTGAACCAGGATGTTGCCTTGTCAGGTTGGCAGGTTTTCCAACAGCCTGGTGGCACTGTAAAGACATAAGCAGCAGCGTGCACGGCGTGCTTCTTTGAAAGTGAGACGTCTAGGACTGCGTTGGCAATTTGCCTCCAATGCTTGCATACCAGAATTCGGAAACTTGATGGAACGTCACCGCATTTCTCTGCAATGCACGGCTCCTGCAAACATGCAAATCGACAGGACTCTATAGAGCTTCCTCCCACCTCAGCCATAAAATGGGTAGGCTATAGGCTACGGCCACGGATACACCGCCAAAGCATATTGCATCTCTGGCGACACTACACCTCGTATATGCCTCACCCCGCAGGCATGGAAAGCCACAGGCTAAGAAGCACGGCCATCTACACTTCTTCTTGTAAGAAGGTTTTTCCCGGGCGTGGAACCACCAAGCCTAAAAGTAATGCCCCGAAGACAAGGCAGTCTGTTTTTGACGTTCTCCTTCCGTGCCTATCCAGCTCAACAGTGCAAAGCCTCCTACCAACTATGCCCCCAGCATGTGGTCTGAAAGCATTCAGTTGCACCCGAGCAGCAGATGCTAGCTTCGCATGACCTCACAAAGGCCTGAGTACAAAACGACCAGCAACGCAGTCCCATAACTTGCGGCAATCTGCGGTTCTTCGATGCCGTTTTTGCAACACCGAGGACCGGTTTGTGCCTTTGCGGGTCTTCGTCATGTTCCGAAGACTCAGGGTTTGGATGCAAGACCTTGCGCAGCTGGCACAGGTGCACTTCGAGTTGTGTCAAGTGTTGCGTCTGGCCAAGCCGCCAACCTCTTGCAGGTCCTCGCCCCTTCGGAGCTCTTGGAAATTTGGGGTGAAGGACGTCAAGCCTGGGTCCGCCACAAGGTCGACCACAGCCGACGTCCCAATGAGTCGGAAGATCAGGTGCGCCGCGAAAGAAAGATGGTCCCATTTGAATATCTCTGCCTGAGCAGGTTGAACGGCAAACTGCCTGCTTGGAGCTTCTTGCGACCCGTCGATGTGCTTCTCGGCACTGCATGCTAAGCAATTTGTGAAAGTGAAAGGTCGCTGAATCTATGCGTGCACAAAGAAAATCGAGGTTGACGCAGTGTTGATGCTGCGGCCAGCGACTGGCTTGCAATCCTGCGCAGTGCAACAATTTAAGTGAGTTGTTGGCAGTGCAGGAGTACTATGCCCGATATGGGGGGCCTGTTACGAGTGGTTCGCCGGCAGCAGACACTCAGCAGTGAACGTTGGAAGGGGTGGGGTTGTGCGCATGGCTTGATACTGTACCGCTCACCGGCTGAAGGATGACATTGCAGCAGTCGAGTCGGGGCCTGCGAGATGTTTTTGCCGCTGCGGCGGTCGCCATGGAGCTACGGAATTGCGACTCCTGTAGGAGACCGTAGTCGCCGTAGTCCTAGTTCATCTAGAAGTTCAATGTTGTTGTCCAGAGGCATCATCGAAGCGTCGCTTTCCTCACAGGGATTGAGTGGGCACACGGCTCGGTGCCAGTGGTCTTTGGAGTATGCCTCGGTTGTCTGGCGAATCTCTTGCAGAGGTGCTGCACTATTACGTCCGGGGGTGCCGTTCCTGGTCATGGTTGCAGCCACAGACAGGAAACCTCAGGATCAGGATCTGAACGGAAGCGACAGAACAGGCGCAGTGCTGCCTGGCTGAGGTTCTATCCTGCACACTACCCGCCACTATGTGTGACCTGGAAGCATTGCTTCGACGGGACGCGTAAGAGTGAGCCGATGCCCAAGGCCGGCCTTGCAAGCGTGCCACCGCCCCAGAATTTGGAGAGCTAGGAAAGTCCAGTCACTCCAGTCACCTGTTCACTCGACTCTGAAGCATTGATCCTTGCGTTTCTCTCCTTCCAGCCCCCGGCTTACTTGACAGAGTGGAAGGCAAGGGCCACTTCCAGCTCCGCCCCTCGATGCGCCAGGGGCTCAGGCTCGACTCACAGACACTGCCGCACCTGCGAAAGTTGTTTCTTGCGTATGCTGCGTGAGGCCCGTTGCTCCAGAGCTGCACCGTGCCTGATCGTGTGCGTGCGTTCGTGTGTGTGTGTGTGTGTGGATAAAGACAGAGAGAGAGAGAGAGAGAGAGAGAGAGAGAGAGAAGCCATTTTGGCTGAAGCCATTTTGGCTCCAGTGCTGCACCTTTGCTTGGAGGCCTGTTCCGCCTCCTTGCATCGGGGGGGAGGTGTGGGGTTGACCCAACACTGTTTACCTTCGGGGAGCCTTTACATCTTTCCCAGCGGTGCTTGAGCATCATATCCGCCGCCACTCTGCTTCAGGGGCCCCTGACAGGACTAGATACGCGGGAGCCATACCCAAGGAGGGCACGTTCGAACTACTACCTCCCTGTGGGCGACCTAGCAAGTGCAAGAATCTCTCCCATTTCGCCCTATAGTATAGAACGGGGAGCAGATCTTCGCCGTCGACTCCGCCACCTCCTTTGACACAGCGACCACATCATACCTCCTCACTGGACGGGGGAGTATCTTACCTTAACGATCGTGACTGTGGCAAGGACGGGGAGATAGTGAACTTCACCAACGACATTCAGGAGATGGCGACAGCGCCGCTCAAAGTCTACATGGTGAGACAGTCTACATGGTTCGACAGCCCGGGGAAACATCCCGCATGCGGGAGCAGCAGCAGACTCGCGACCACAGCGTGTGCCACAGGTCCCTGTACTCCGTGAAGAAGACGAGACCCACCCAGAACCCCACAAAGGAGATTGGGGGAGCCAGCCTGGTTGGAATGACGCAGTTCGTGACGAGGAAGGGATCCAAGCACACATGGCCCGATCTCGCCAAGATCCACATGAGGACGTGGGAGCATGGTGAGCGACAGTGAGCGGCTAAGTTCAGTGTTCCTTCCAGTTTCGCTTGCATGGTCAAGCCTAATTATGACGGGCCGCTGGAGCCAGACACACTCCCTGCCTGCCGACGGGGAGCCATACCTCTCTGCACAGATTGCCAAACACTCGGCACCCAGACAGAGTCTTGCCGCTAATTCAGTAACGTTAACGGAAAATTTGAAAGAGACTTCACACCTGCAGACTTCCTAGTTGGGGAACCCGCCTGTCCTAGTGACCTGCCTGTGTTATGTTTCCTTTGTTGCTTTACCTTGAGCGCAAAAAGGAGGGGGAGGACCCCAAGGCAGTCCCGACACTAGACTGTGCACTCGCAATGGTACTATGTTCCTGCATCGCATGGTCCTCGGTCTGTGCTGTGTAAACCTCTAGCAGCAGGGGACTGCCTCGAACTAGGAAACTGTGGATCGTCAAGACCCTGAGGTCGATGGTAGGTTCCGGGTTGGTCAGTCATCTTCGTAGTCTGGAACTCTACTCAGGCAGAAAGGGCCATGGCAACAAGATCGAATTGACGTCTGCTGTTTTCCGCACATGCACTAAGCTGTCAAGCTTCTGTCGTCCATGATCGTGAAAGTGAACGATCGATCTTTACAACAGCTCCCACAGAACTCAACTCAACAAATGTACAGCATGAGGAGAACTGTGTTGTATCAAGATCTCAACGCTAAGTTCGGTTGCCTCACAGGGCTGCGGAGGATGGCTCACTGATACAGCAAGAGGATTTCTTCACTCCTCCTTGTCATTAGCCTGCGGCTTTTGACACCATTCTTCTCGATCTCTTGCTTCAGCCATTCCTCCACCTCGCAAGCCACTCCGAGGTCGCCGTCCTGCTTGACACAACAGCCCAACTCAACTCTGTGCGTCCCGACAACCTCTGGTGTCGCCAGGTGTACAAAATGTACTTCAGCTGTCGTGTCGTAGGTCGATTTGAAGGTGGAGGCTCATCCCCGAGTGTGCCACTGAGGCGTCTGATCAAATCAATCACTCCAGAAAGAGGCATGCCTTCCATCTCCAAACCAGCTCTGAGGTGCTTCACCGTGAGTAACTGAAGCGTGTCCATGATCACTCGTTCCCTCTCGAACTGGCCGCCATCATCACTAGGCGTGGTCGGAAGTGATACTCGCCTCGGGATCGGTGGGGTAGTAGGCCTCGGAATCGGCGGGGTAGTAGACCTTGGAATCGGCGGGGTAGCTGGCCTTGTTCCTCCAAACATACTGGTACGTTCCTGAACGGTACGCTCCGGTGTCATAGGTGTGGTCGTAGATGAAGCCATCGAGGTTCCGGACCTCTCCTCCCGTAGGACCTCGCGAAGCGACCTCGTGACTTCCTCATTGGTAACCGGCTCTTCGCGCTCCATCCACTTCTCTATCTCTGCCTCCGCCGCCGCCTTCGCCAACTCACGTAGGCGCTGGATTCGTCTGGACTTCTTAGTCCCAAAGACTCTGGCCAGGATCCACTTGTGGGCCGCCTTACCAGCTTCCCACAACGCCACAGCCGACACGCACGTCAACGTAAGTAGGACCAACAACTCAAAGGTGCCGGTCACCTGCAGGGGCTCCTTCTCTGCCGACACTGCCAGCGATTGGACCGCCAACATTAGCAGAAACAGGCATCCCAGCTTCAAGCACTTGAGTGCCTGCTGGCCCGATAGGCCAGGAAGTCCTACCATGTTCCAAACTCCCAGCAGGTGCAGTAGCCTTGCCTTGCTGTGCATCTTCGTGGGTAGATCTGCTGGTTGGTCCTCTCCAGCCAAATGCCGAACAGCCAACTGGTTGTTCGCCACTCTGTTCAGCACATAGGAATGGCGAATCCTCAAGTGCCTTGTCCTCCAGCTTCCAATTGAGCCGTTCAAGATATTGTTCGCTGCCATGTTGTCGATATACAGGGTGGGAACATCACATCCTGGCAAAATCTCCTCCAGCATAGCTTGGGTGGATTCCAGCAACAACGCACACGTAGAGCCTTCCATCAACTCGGACTCACAGACAGACATAGCGATCATGGGCTGTTTTCCTGCTTTCCAGGAAACCGGTGTACGACCAACCATGACCATACTGCAGCCAAAACTCTTGGTCCCATACGGTGCAAAGGATGCGTCGCTATAACCCGAAAGCTCGACCCTGAAACCTGCCTCGTGCTGTTGTTCTGCTGACTGCGTGGGCTCTGCTGACTGCGTGGGCTCTGCTGACTGCGTGGGCTCTGTTGACTGCGTAGGCTTTGCTGCTGCTTCGACCTTCAGCTTGAGGTTCATTGTGGAGTTCAAGTAGGCAATCACCTTCAAGCCTACGTTGTAAACCTTCACCGGCTTCTTCGCAGTCATCGCGGCCATGTAGTTCACAACGTAGAGGATGTCTGGCCTCGTTCGGTAGGCCAGCCAAAGGCATTCTCCCGTTACCTTCTGAGCCCGGGTGAGCTCATCGGCACTGAAGTTCTCCGTCTCCGCTTCCTGCTCGTCATCCTGGATCCACTCCTTTGGGCACGGAAGCATTGCCTTGTCCTCCGGGTCCAGACCATGGAGTCTCACCAGGTTGGCGACGTAGCCGGCCTGTCCCAATGTGAACGTTTCCTCCTCCTGAAGTAGCTCCATTCCCAGGTAGCGAATGCCCTTGTCTGAAAACTCCAGGTCCGAACATGGCCATATAGAAGAGATCTTGCCATGGAGCAACAGGATAATCGCTCGCTTCGCCAGGTAGAGGAGGTCGTCCACGTAGGTCACGAGGAGGCCCTTTAACTGTGGCCTCGGTGCCCCAATGGGCAGAAAGAGAATCAACCACAGTTCCCCGTCGGTCACAAGCGGCCTCAGCCACAACCGACCCTCTGGGATGTGAACAACGATCTCCTTCAGGACCTTCGTTCGGTGGTTCGCCCATAAAGCCGGGCTTTCGCGCAATCCGTAGAGTGCCCTTTTGACCACAAACACAATGTCCTCGGGAACAAGGTTCGCCTGCACCAGGATCCGAGGGGGGATCACTCCATACGTTGGACGGTCCGACGGCCACTCGGCCTGAAGGAACGCCGCAGAAACATCGGTAGCAGCTGCGGTCCAACCAAGTGCAGACGCCAAGGCCAAGGCCAGACGGAGCGCCTCAACAGAGGCGCCAGCCGCATACAAGTCTTGCCCGTTCAGCGACTGGTTGGCGAGGTTGCCACAGATCACTATCCTCGCTTTGCGCTTCCAGCGCGCCCCCTTTGACTTCTTCTCGGTCTTCGCTTCTGGCGCTGGAGGCTTGACCGTAAACACAACTTTGCCCGGAATGAGAATCAGCGACCCCTCATTCACTAGCTTTCTCGCTTCTCCCATGTGCCTGGGCTCGATCGCATGCGTCTTCGCCTCCAGGTTCGCAAGCTCCTTGCTCATGGGCTCGATCCATTCTTCCAGGTTCGCTTTCACCTGGTCCAGCGGAACATCTAAAGTAACATCCAGATCCTTCTTGAGGTTGTGCAGGTAATCCTCGATGTCCCCAATTTTCTGGTCATCGGTCACATTGGCTACCTTGAGGTACAGATCTTGACATCGAGACTCCACCTCCCCAATCTGGGTGTCCACCTCCTTGATCAAGTCTCTCACCACCTCATTGATCCCCTTGATTTCCTCCCTGATAACACATCCCACGGTGTTGAACTCCTCCGCCAGGATCTCCTCCTCAGCCAGGAAATCACGCAACCATTCACGTCGTTCCTGTAGACGCCCCAGAACATCTTCTTGCAGTTGCTGTAGCTCCCGACTGATTTCCATGGACCTCTCCCGGCGCTCCTCAGGGTTCTCTTTCATCTGGAACATAATCGCGTCCGGGTTCCTGGGAGACTCCTGCAGGTCCATCATCTTGAGCACCGCATGCTGTAAGTTCTCAGGCACTTGTGGTGGTAGAGGAGGTGGGACGAAGCCATACTCCGTGAGCTTGTCGTAGGTTGGTTGCTTCATTCGTGAGGTTCGGGGCGTATAGGCTGTCATCACCAGTCGTCGTCCTTCCCAGTCCTCAGTTTGGTGGAACATTCGGGGGTTGATGTGAATCGCTGTCCCCGTCGCCAGGTGGTGGACCTTGCCTCGACGCCAATCTCCTCTTGGGGTTTGTCTCCATTCATCGGTGACATCGTAGTCCATGGGTTCCGACTCGACCCACACACCGCCTCCCCTTTCACATGGTAG